CACCCCCGGGATAAGGTCTCTAATAGATTTCGAATTCAGGGGCTTACCCTCGTATAACCCAAAAACTTAAGGGTCCAAAACTTAAGGATTTACTTTGGTTATGAGTTGAAAATAATAAAATCACAGCAATAAAAGTTTCAACGTTTCCGATAAAGACAAAGAAACATATGAAGGCATCAAAGAAAAAAATTTATGAAGACATCAAAAAGAAATTTTCTATTATGTCAAAAAACATGTACAAGAGGCTAGTCAAAGCCTTACAAAAGAGAAAAGAAAAGAAGTTAGAATTTAACTACGGTCGGGGCTAGTTCCCCCAGGACCATCTTCCTCCCGAGTAGCTTCTCCAGGAGCATTTTCTTCAACGACCTCATCTCCATCTTCTCCACTTTTGGACCCGCCTCGTCTGCCTCAGTGTCATCATCATCATCATCGGAAGAGGCGAGTTGCCTGGCTTTGGTTTAAAGCTCTTTGGCACGAGCAATTTAATTAAAGAGGTCAAAACCTTGAGCATGAATTTCCTCGAGGGTTTACCTCCGGGATTGACACTTTGCCAAATCACTATGCCACTGCTCCTGATCGGAAGCCTCCATTAGCTGAGTTTGGGTAGCTTCAGCATCGGCCTGGTACATGGCAATGGACTTGTCCGCCATGACCTTGGTCTTATCATCCTCCGCCTTTGGCCCTAGCGAGCCTAGCTTCGAGTTCTTCGACCCTCTTGGCCTGGGCCGAACTATTCTCTCTAAGGCCTTGGAGTTGGGCCTTGGCCGAAGATATTTTGGCCAAAGCGGCCTCCCTTTTCGCAGCAAGACGATCCATTCTATCTTTCCACTGATCATAGTCGGCCTTGACCTGATCGACCTCTGCCCGGAGTAGCTTGATTTTCTTCACCTTCTGCTGCAGCTAATATATCGAAGTATTAGCTATCACAGTCGAGTTGATTCCATACTTTATCAGAAGGGTGGTTACCTGCTTGTCTAACTTGGCCTCCACTTCATGAGCCTTGGCTAGATTTGCTTAAAGATTCTTTATGACTCATCCTTTTGGCCACAAAGTATATTCAGGGCATTTCTCTCTTCCGAGACCTTTTGGAGTTCGGCTTCACTAACAAAGGTCAGTTCAGAATTCGGCAGAGGCCTATATAAAGAAGAATCCACAAGTTAGATTTGTGAAGAAAGAAGCAAAGGAAAGTAACCAAAAAGCAACTGGTACTTACCTTGAAAAAAAGACGTTGGGCTTCTGCCATAAGGATTGGAGCATCAATAATATTAGAGGCGTCATCGACCCCACAAAGCAATCCCAGAAAGGATCACCTATGCTAGAGCCTCCGCTGACCTCAGGGGTCTTCAGCCTTTAGGCATCCCTTATTGCTTCTTCATAAAAGACCGGCATTGAAGGTAGTTGACATATTGCCATGGCTCTGTCCGATCTTCTGAGTTTTAGAACCGACCCCGCCCGGTGTAGAAGTTGATGATCGAGAAATCACCTCGACCTCATGAGACCTGGGGTTCACCCCTGAGTTTTTCTTCAAAGCCTCCTCGACGCAAGGCTCGGTTATAGCAGGTGGGAGCTCGGAATGTGGGGCGACCTCGACGGCCTTCCGAGGGCGGACTATCAACATCGAAGTGTCTTCTTCTTCATCTTGGTCTCTCAACTTTTGGACCGTTTCCGCCTAAAGACCGACCATATTTCTCCTCACCTATTGAGGTTTGGGTTTGGGAACCTCGGATTATGAGAGATCCTTTCTCTTCTTATCCTTTTCAGGCCTCAGAGCCGGGGACTTGGCTTCTACGCCTTCACTTGAGGGCCTCAGAATGGGATGAAAGATTAGTAATGAAGAAAATATGTAATTACTTCGGAATACATAAGAAGAAATCCTTACCATGGTTCTTGGCCTCTCACATGCCCTTGGCCAAATCCTCCACGCTCGTTCAACACGAGTCGAAGTAGAGGCGAGCTTTTGGATCCAGTCTTCAAAATCGGGCACCTCCTGAGGCATCCAAGGGACAGTTGTATGATTAAAGAAAAATGTTAGGCAAAATCAAAAGAAATATGAAGATCGAAAATTAAAATATCATTTACGTTTGAGATTTCATTCCTCAGGGAATGGCATCTTTTCCTTCGGTATTATATCGCAGGTCCTCACCTAGATGAATCGGCTCATCTAGCCTCAACTTTATCCTCGTCGATGCTAGAGAATAGAGTCTTTGTTGCTCGACAGTGAATATTAACTAGCCCTCGGTAGAGTCGAGGCCGGTACAACCGTATAAGATGATCCAGAGTGAACTCTAACCCTTCGGCCTCGTTGGAGAAGAAGCGCAACATTATCACTAAGCGCCAAAGTGAAGAATAGAGCTGACCGAGGGTGACTTCATACCTCCTGCAGAAGTCAAAAATCACCGGGTCGATGGGATACAGTGTGAAGGGGTAAGTGTAAACACTTAAGAACCTGTTCACGTGTGTGGTGATGCTCTCTTCAGGTGAAGAAATGTGCACTACTACCCCCGAACCCCAGTTGCAGTCCGTCTTCATAGCCTCGACATGACCCTCGGTAATCGAGCACATGTACATCAACACGTATTCGCACCGGCCCGACACCGATGAGGGGTTCTCGACTTTAAAGTCAGATTTGAGAACGCATGGGCCAGGAACGTATTCATAGGGGGACGGTTCTACCAGCGTTTTATCACCGGCCGGCCGGAAAGAAGAAGATGAAGCTTTCTCTTTTTGCGGCATAGTCTTGGAGGTCTTCGCCATTTTTAGATTTGTAAAAGGTGGAAAGGTATGAAATTAGTAGCTCCGGTTGAAGCAACGGTGGTGTAACTGGCGCCGACGAGAGAAATATGAGAAGAATTGGGGAGTTAAGAGTTCCTAATCAAAGCAAGGTAAAGTTTGGATCAAGGAAGGAGGTGATATTTATAGGTTTGAGGTGACGGTTCGGTGATACTAGTGGCCGACCGACAATTAACATTCGTTGATGGTTTTTGGGAACTGAACTGAGGGGACGTTTCAGTCGCATCCATCGCTTACGTCACGAAGACGACGTCATGATCGAGGTACAGGGGAATTGAGGCTCAAAACGTTTCATATCATTTCACTCTAAAAAACGCGAGGACTATCGGTATACGGTTAAAATCGACCACGTCCAATTTTATGGGCTTGAGCATCTACCTTGAGATTAAGTCCCGATCAAGGAGACTGAACGATCGATCGGGCAAGATCGACATCGAGTAACGGAACAATGAGATATCCGCAATCGACCACAAATCTCGGCGGGAATCTCGGGATTGACAAAACCCTTAACGGTTATTAATATCAATCATGTATTTTGTTTTTGAAATTAGAGTTATACCTTATTTAGGATTCCTCTACTATATAAAGAGGAACCCTGATCATTTGTAAGATCATATGAACCACATACGCAATTGCTGAGAAATAATAAACACTCAGCTCTTTTACTTGTGTATAATCTCCCACTGTTCTTACTGTTCTTGTTGTTCTTATTGTTCTTGACACTTGATCTCGAGCCTATACCAAACCGAGGTCGATAACTTGCAAACTGCACTGGTTTGATTCATTTTAATCGCGTTATTCATTTATTTATTTAGCCATTTATCAATTGACATTGAATCAGATCACGTATCCTTATAACCACATTACAAGTTTAATTGTTACTCGTATTTCAAGATAAACAGTTCTATAGTGCCACATGTGTTTATAAGAGTTGTACCATAATAGTACATGAACGAGACGCCATAATCGACTTGTAGCATTGATTATGATAGAATTTATAGTAATCATGGGCATAGATCGGCTCTACTCATGTAATGCCAATCTGGATGGTCGAACCAAAGCTGTTAGTTTTGAGTTTTCGAATGAACCGGAAAGGAATATTCCTATATCTATGGGTAGGTTTTTATTCACTATCTTCGGGCAATGAAGATGATCACCAAAAGGTATATCTACCATTTAGTTCGAGTCATGGTTACCGAGATTGTGAATGATTTTCGTAAGTCTTTCTTGACGAGCTTCCCCAATTTCCATCCAACAGAGTGATTGATTTTGGGATTGATATTCTGCCCGAACACGCAATATACTTTCCACCATACAGAATGGCCCCAAGAGAATTAAAGGAATTCAAAATAGTTGAAGGATATTTCGGAGGAGTTTCATAAGACTTAGTGTGTCACTGTGGGGTGCACCAATCCTATTTGTTTGAAGAAAAGATGATTCGTTGAGAATGTATATCGACTATCGGCAACTCAACAAAGTCACGATCAAAAACAAGTATCCATGACACGTTTGTGCTAGTATTTATTGACGACAACCATCTTGTGTGACACAGAACTTTCTCATCTCCACCTCTTCTGTGAGGGCTCTCTCATCATTCCTATTTCACTCTTTCAAACCCAAAACTTCCTCAATACAGTCAAAAATCTGATATCAAATAGTTGAATTCATGAGGATTCCCCTAATTCCTATGCAGGAATTTTTTTATATCTTTCAAGATGTGTTTTTGTTTTGTCAGTTAATATTATGACGGAGAAGAACATGTGTGGAAGTGATGATAAAATGATATTTTACTGTTTGGGTAGTCTTTACTCTTTACTCCGTAGGTTAGCCATGGTAAAAACTTGCCCACATGCAACATTTATATCAAACCAAACAATTTTAAACTTAATAGTTAATAATTGTGCAAATACATCACGGAATCATATCATTAAGTTGGTTTTAATTTTTTTACTCTAGCCATATCTGCCAAATCGACGCCATTCAGAGACTTTTATCATGTTTGTGTTTACCAAGTAGATGTGCTAAATTGGAAAATTTCAAGTAGATTGCGTAGACGTGTGCAAGTAGGAGCATTAACAACAACAACAATCCAGTATAATCCCACTGGTGGGATCTGGGAAGGGTAATGTGTACGCAGACCTTACCCCTACCCTGGGTTAGAGAGGTTGTTTCCGATAGACCCTCGGTATCCTTCCCTCCAAGAACTCATATCCGCAATAATTTGCTTAAAGAATTGGAAAATCTCCAATTCCTAGGTCAGTAAAACAAATCATTTGGAGATCATTCACAAAGTTCCACCACTGCCATGCAACAACCTTAGCAATTTAGTTTATACAAAAGTTAAAAGTAGCTAAGCAAAGGGGCAGCTTATTCTATTTTGGCCTCGTTTTCATCTCTTTTTCGTTTCCCCCCGACCCTCAGTTTTACCAAAGTGTCAAAAACACTTTTCATTGTTGGCCTATTGCCTGGATCAAGATCCAGGCAACAGCAAGTCAGCTTTGAGATTTCTGCTGCAGTTTGATAATCAACCTCTTCGAAGCATTCATGAACCAAAAAATTTCCGCCAGGTTTATCCTCATTTGGGTCAGGAAGATGACAAGAATCAAACTTCGTTTTAGATATTAACTCCATCAGTAGAAGACCAAATATGTAAACATCAGATTTCAATGTCCGCTTACCTGCATTGAACCAGCAAAATAAGAATAGAACTTTTTAGCAAAGAGCAGATAAATTCCACGATATGCATACATAAAAACAACAAATACAATTAAATTTCTCCACATGGGGAAAGCTTAAGAGTCATAGGTTCTTCATACAGATTTCTTTTCCCTAGTTCTTAACAACAACAAAAAACCCAATGTAATCTCACAAGTGGGGCCTGGGAATGGTAGTGTGTACGCAAACCATACACCTACCTTGTGAAGGTAGAGAGGCTTTTACCTAGTTTTTACTTTCAGACAAATACATAAAAATACGAGGACTTGGCATTCTCAGCTGAGTCTTGGCTTAATGCCCACTAATGAACAATGTACAAGAAAAAGGTCCACAACATGATGTTAGTATAGATTTCATCAAGAAAGAAAGGAGGGGGGGGGGAATAGAGAGAGAGAGAGAGAGGATAGAGATGATTTCTTATTTCAGAAATTTCACCATTTTGCCTCCAAATTGACCAACAGGAAACCTGAAATATTGTAGTTATGTAGCCCACAAGATTGCTATATCACATAGGTGGAAGCGAAAACTTCTCTATAAAAATTAGCAATCTTATAAGGAGGGTCCAATTATAAGAATGGACCACTTTAATAGCTGCTCATTCCACCATCAAGGTAGGCAATGGAATGGAAAGACTTTTTTGGAGTGACAATTGGTTAGAACATGGTCCTCTTAGAGAATTATTCCCCATCTGTTCAACATAGCAACATCAAAAGAAGCAAGGTTAGATACAACATGGGGACAGGAAGGATGGAATGTTATTTTCAGGAGGTTTTTTGAATGACTGGGAGCATATGAGAGCTGTGGAGCTCTACAAGACCTTGGACGCTTTTCAAGGTTTCAGTGATTCTGAAGATACACTGATTTGGAACCTCAACAGGGATGGGAACCTCACTGTTAAATATGCTTACTTGGTTTCCTCTAAGTGTTTTAGTTCCATCTTCCTGAGTCGAGAGTCTATCGGAAACAGTCTCTTTGCCCTATCGGGGTAGGGGTAAGGTTTGCGTACACACTACCCTCCCCAGACCCCACTTAGTGGGACTTTTACTGGGTCGTGGTTGTTGTTGGTTGCCTCTAAGTGCAGCAGCAACAACAACAAAAAACCCAAACAGTTTATTTGATTTTTTTAGTGTATATTTCAGTATATAAAATTAATTATTATACATATGTTATATTTCAGTTTATTTGATTAATTTTATATGTATTTCGTTTTAGAAAATTAATTTTATATATATGTGTTATATTTTAGTTTATTTGATTTTTTTTTAATGTGTATTCCCGTTTATAAAATTAATTATTATATATATTATATGTATTTTCAGTTTATTTGATTATGTATTTTCTTATATCTTAATAGGGATTTTAAAATGTCTCAAAGTTCGAAAGAGAAAGACCCGGCCTATTGATATGGCGATAGAGTTAATGAGAAGAATACAAATGTTGTATGCAAGTTTTGTAACAAGATTACAACGGGTGGAATTCATCGCTTTAAATTCCATCTTATTGGTGGCAATAGAAACGTCACAAATTGTCCAAAATGCCCACCAGAGGTGAGGGATGAAATAAAGAATTTTGTTGAGAAGAAGGAGCAAAAAAATCAAATGAGTCATCAACCATTGGTGACCAATCTTGATGATGATGATAATATTGAAGAATTGTCACTTCTAATAAAACGGGGAAGAGATGCAATCTCTTCAAGCCATGGATCGGCGGGTACGAATAGGAGTAAAGGTCCTATAGATTGCTATTTCCCAAAGAAGCCGGAAGCAAAGAGCGGTGGAAAAGATATACAAAAAATTGCTAAGGACATTTTGAGGGATCGTGCAGTTAGAGCTTTTGCACGATGGGTCTATGATGTTGGGCTCCCCTTCAATTGTGTCAACTATACTGACACTTTTGCAATAATGTCCTTCATGCTCTTAAAATTGGTGGCTCTTTGGTTAAAGTACTCTGTTTGGTGGATGGGGAGCAAAAACCACCAATGGGCTACCTCCATGAAGCTATGAATGGGGCCAAGGAGGCTATTCAAGCATCATTCACTAATGAGCAAAAATATGCAAAGGTCTTTCATATCATTGATGAAAGATGGAGTGAGCAATTTCATAGATCTTTGCATGCAGCTGGACTTATTCTGAACCCGTCACTCTTTTATGATCAGCATGAGAATAATTCATTGGCTAGAGAAGTGTGGACAGGATTCCATGAGGTTGTTATCAAGTTGACCCCATATGAAGACTTGCAAGAAAAGATAGTAGATCAGCTTGCTATTTACAAGGCAGCTGAAGGACTTTTTAAGCTCCGACTTGCTATTAAACAAAGACAAAGTCGCCAGGTGACCATGTGCTTCTATATTTTATAGCTCTAACTTTAATGTATTTTTTATACTTATTAACTCTTGAATATTTTTTGTCACTTCTATAGTTGAGTGGTGGGACCAATATGGTGTAGAGCCTCCGGATTTACAGACTTTCGCCAACAGAGTTCTAAGTTTAACTTGTAGCTCATCCGGATGTGAAAGGAACTAGAGCGTTTTTGAACACACGAGAAATAAAAAGAATTATTTCGTGTTTTGAAATAAAGTAAATTATATCTCATTGTCCCAACTCCTACTAATTAGTTGACACATCTTGTTTGCAAATTCATACAAAGAAGAGGAATCAACTAACCTTGAAGCGCCTCCATAATCTAGTGTTCATAAAATACAATAGAGCATTGAGGCGTCGCTACAACCATCGCAATCTAATTGATCCAATTCTTTTGGACAATATTGATGAGGCTAATGAGTGGCTAACCGGATAACCGGAGTCCCCAAAAATTGTGAAGATGAAGAAGTATTTGAAGGCGACTCTAATTTCAGTTGGGGTGATGTTGCGGTTGCTAGTGGAGTTGGGGAGAATCCTTATGGTTTAAGGGGGAATACTTCAAGTTCAAGCTCGATTAGGAAGGGAAAAAGTGTGGCTACTACAAGTCAATCTCTATCCCTAATTGATAAAGATGAAAGTGATCATGAAGAGGAAGAGGAAGGGGAAGAAGAAGATGACGAGCAATATGAAGATAACAGAGGAATTCAAGATTTTGACAATCTTGAATAAGAACAAGAAGAGTAGAAGAATAAGATGTTTATTCTAGTAATTTAGTAGCTTTGATTTTGCTTGTCCTATGGTTTGTGGAGGATTTGGTGGTACCTAGTACCTACTTTTGAGTTTTTAAATTGAATTTTTTGATTATTTATAATTTTATATTGTGCCTTTGCAAGGTTTACATTATGTTTTTTTAAGAATCACGCTTCACTTTAATAAAGCATGCACTTCGCTTTTGAAGCGAGGCGAGCCCCTATCGCTTTTTTGCACTTCTCGCTCTTAAAAACACTGTGTTGGACAATCTGGACGGAGAGAAATTCAAGAATTTTTGAAGACAGAAGCAAAAACTCCTTACAGAATGTTAAAGTGAATTGTTTCCTTTTGTTTCATTTCTGGTGTAAACAAAGCTTTGTAGAGGAGGCAGAATCATTAGTAGATTTGATAGGTGCTATGTAACCTTAGGTTAACATAGCTGGGGTATGCTCTTTTTGTAAATATAGCTTGGCACTACTTTTGTGCTGTTTTTTGGTCTAACTAATATATTTAACCAAGTTACCATTCACAAAAAGAAGAATGGACCAAAATGTTGATTTCTCAAGAAAAATAGTATTTTATGGCATCGGGAACTAAGAAATGCAAGAAAGCAGATTTCAAGGATGTGAACCGCGGTTACAAGTACTCCTCCCCGACTAAAGTTACAGATATATTTCACATGTATGCTCTCGCTTTCATTACACTGTCTTAGGTTTCAGCTTTAGTTATTTTGGTCTTGTGTCACAGTTCCACTTAGAGATTGTCTTGTCTGACAACTAAGCCTAACTAGCTCTTAATGAGATATTTAGGAGAAAGGAAAAAGGGAAAAGTGCAAAGAAATAGAAATAGAAAAAAAAAGTAGTGGGCTTTAATATGGATCTGGAACTCAAATAACACAGTAGATGAATCATTGTGTATCATGCATCAACAGACAATTATAGAAAAATCTTTGTCTATAACATGAAACATCAGATATGATGAAGTCTGAGTAAACATGCCTTTTGAAATAATCTCTGGAGTACCCCTGCCAACAAGATACTTTAAAGCAATTTCAGAATCCTCGTTGACAACTGTGTCAATGTTACCAAAGTCAAACACTTTAATACTCACTTCCTGCAAGCCAAAGCAATGTAGTAACGCGTTAAGAATCTCCAGATTTCTATAGGAAATTTTAAAGTCAAGAAGACAATGAAGGGCTTAAACTCAACCTTATCAATCATAATGCATGAAGCAGTGACACTACCAACTGCAATCTTCTTTTTATGCAACCATGTCAAGAGGTCTGCAAGTTGAGTTGCCACATTTATCCGCTTTTCCCATCCAAAGTCATCTGACGAACAAGAAAAAGAGATGAAGAATATGCAAAAGCACGCAAAATTCACACTAAACAGCCATTCAACATAATACTTGAGGTAAGTAAAATACCAGCCAGAAGCACATCAGACAAAACCGTGGTAAATTCTTCATCATAGACAGCTGCAAGTCTCTTCTCGCAACAGTACCTAGACAACTTCACCAAATATTGATGTGCATTTGCTGTTTCATATAACTCCATCTCATCCTACAGAAAACCCTCGACATCATTCACTCAACCCAATACAATAGACAAGAAAATCAAATTAAAATGTATCTACACATACACAAAATTGAAATGGACGATGAACATGTATTAAATGCGCAGGAAGGTGAAGATCCCATGTTTTAACAATCACTGATCGTTTTACAGATCCTTCAGTAATGGTTCCACGGAACAATCTGCCTGACTGGGTCATCTGAATCAAGTTCTCGGTTTTGAAGTCAGTAATCTTTTCTAACTCGGAGTAGCTGCAAGGCTTCACGACACCATCTATCACCGGCAGAATTGGGAACTTATAGCTGCACTTGACAACCAGAGAAGACAGTCAGAGAAGAAACACTAACACCGTGAACGTGTAGCTTTGAGAAGTGCAGCCAAATGAAATGGACATTTTCAGGTCAAAGAGAAAGCTGGAGTAAGTAACCATTGGTCTTAGATAATAGAAAGGGTGGTTCTCGTCAGTCTTTGTATCTATTTAATTGCATCAGTAGGTGTGAAGGGTTTTGCAAAAAGAGATAAGGAAGAACTATTTGAAGCTTGCAAAGGTTATTCCGTGAGTTTTAAACCAAAATCATTCCTATTATTTTAGTCAAACTTCCACTACGTCCTAATATTTCAGTTAACTGAAAAATCCTTAAGTGTTCCAAAGTTGACCAAAAACATCCCTCTCTTGAAATTTTCATCCATTTCTAACGGCTGTTTTGTTTCTCATGTGACCCCCTCCTTTTTTCCCCCTTCTCCCACAGTTTCTGAAAGAACAAAACCGTGATGTGCAAACCTTAACCCCCAGTCTCTCTTATCTACGTCTCATTTCACTCTATCATCTTTCCTTTTTCTTTGTGTACTTGCAGGCTATTTGAATATCATATTCTCCATTTTAATTTTTTCTCTATTCTCTTATAGCAGTTTTGACCATCTTATTATTTGAATCACGCACTACTTCTGCTTATTAGGCCAGCTTGTTTTTTAAATTGGTGCTTAATATACTTACCACTGCAGGAATAAAAAGTAATCTGTAGCTTGCATGAAGACCAGCTTATATATTGGGTTTAGGATTTCTCGATAACGTAATCTGTGTTGACATCCAATTTTGTACTTTACTTACAAATACCTTATAGTCCACCTTCTTTTTTTGAGAAGGAAGCTACTTCACTTCTTTTCTTACCTTTGAATTCAGTTCTTTATGTTCATGGTAGTCCTTTTGATCTCATCTCCTTTTATTACGAGGAACTATTTCTTACTCTCAATCACTTCCAACCGTCACAATGGACAACAGATCTAAAAACATGGCAACTGGGGCAAGGTTTGCGTACACAATACCCTTCCATGCCTCACTTGTGGGAATACACTGGTATATTATTAATGTTGAATAATTATAAGTACAATTATACGGATAATTAAAAGAATAATTATACGAACAAATGAATTAAAAGATAATAATTCATAGAGGTAAAAGTCACGTGCATTCAAAACCATCTTAAACTTTGATTCAGATGCAAAGATGCAGTTATAAGCTCCTAGTTTTCTCAAACTAAATAAGTAGTCGCTCTATTCCAACTTATGTGACATAGTTTAACTGAACATGGAATTTAAGAAACAAAGACTTTTGAATTTTTTGGGTCTTAAATTTTACATAACATTCGTGAAGTTCAAAGTTGGGTTTATTTCAAATATAGAAATGTATCATTCTTTTGGGAAGAAACTAACAAGAAAAGAGTGTCACGCAAACAAGAATGAGGGAGTACCGTATTTTCTATAGCTAACCATTATCACTTTGTTAACAATAATATTTGCTTTTAGTCAAAGCAAGACGAAACTCTCGGCCTGCACTACAGCAAAGGTGCCTTTAACAACAACAACAACAACCCAGCATAATGCCACTTAGTGGGGTCTGGGGAGGATAGTGGTACGCAAAACTTACCCCTACCCTGGGTAGAGAGGCAGGTTGTTTCCAAATAGACCCCGGCATACTCGAACTCACAAACTCTTGGTTGGAAGTGAAGCTGCTTACCATCATAGCAACCCCTCTTGTCACAAGATAAAACGAAATAAGCACAGTGAGAGAGGCGAGCAGAACATAATATCGCCCATATACCAATAGCGATTACTTAAACTCAATCAAAAGGAACTATCACCAGCGCAATGGAATTACAAAATACAGCAAGAGAGAGAGAGAGGAGAGAAAAAACCTAGAGTACTGCTGGCATAATACACGAAAATTCTGTCGTCGATGGTGATTTACTTCTGGGGTAGAATAAGGGTTAGCCCAATCTGGAGACTCATACTCGTTGAAAGGTTGGTAAAAATAAGGACTGTAACAACATTGTTTCATTTGTCCACTGATGTGTAGTTGGAGGCTGATTTCTCCAAGTCTTTGTTGACTCTCCTTACTTTCATTCTGAAATTTTCTGGCATTTCTTTCGCTCCATACATGATAAACTGTTGCAGCAAATAAACATGTCAGTACTTGTGCTTTAGCTCTGCTTCCTCTACACCTCTATTAATCTTATTAAATTATAGTTTAATATATTATATTATTAAAATTAATATTAATTATTATTTTATTATTTAATATAGTATAAAAAATATAGTAAAATCTATACAAAACGAGAACCAAAAGGAAACTAGGGTCCCTTCTTCCCGTGGGACTGAAAGACTTTTAACATTTCCTAAATTTTTGTGGAGCAAAAAAGAAATATAGCAAGTATTTGTTATGAAATAAAAGAAATATGAAAAAATAATGTAATTAACTAGAACTTAACATTGAAGAAAATCTTCTATCTACTATTTTTAGTCGCATCAATTAGTATAAAACATATAAAAAATAAAAAATTATTAAAAAATCGTAATTGATGGTATACTAAATTCGGTATTTGTTCAAATTATCAAAATGAATGTTATTTCATTGATACAATAGTTAAATTCAATATATTTGAAACATATAAAGATGATGAATTCAATTTAATAAGCCATATAGTATTTGGAGTTACAATTTTATTATTATTATTATTATTATTATTATTGTTGTTGTTATTGTTATTGTTATATAAGATACAAAATATGTTATATTATTATCTATCACCTAACATCTCTTTAGTAATATATTATATTCAAAATATCATAATATAAGAAAATAATAAATTATTAATTAATTATAAATTTGGACAAACACATCTTTTTACACAACTAAGCGCAGAGTCTTTCGGTTGGTATAAATGAAGTATAGAGAGTTTAGGTTAATCATCGTGCGAGAAATAAATCGATTTTCTATTTTTCTAGAGAATACATATGATATAATCTAATTTTAGTTTATCAAGATTCTAATATATAGATAAATGAGGTTAAGCTACATTGATAACAAAAGATATAAAAAGTTTAAAAATGTCATCTGCTCTTCTTTTTCTGTCACGACCCAATCGGTCACTATGAGTTCCAACACATCGTCCAGACGATTTGAGGCTTTGAGTAGCTTCACTCTATGTATCATGACTTGCACATGTGGTAGATTTTGAATTTTGAGGAGTTCGAAGTTGATTTGGAAGAATAATTCCACTACTAAAAACAACTGATTTGCGACCGAAAAAATTAGTCGGAAATTTCTGACTGATTTGGTCGAAATTTTCAAAAATAATATTTTTTATATTTTTTAAATTTTTTCGACTATTTTTCCGATAACATTGGTAGCAATGTTTGGCACAAAAATCCGGAATAAAAATTGCGACAGATTTAGTAGGAAATTAAAAGTCAAACAATTTTATTTGACCATTTGCGTCCGTTTTGGTCACAAAATTTTTTAAACTTCGGTCAATTATTTTTTAAAGTTGCGACTGAAACGATCGCTAGTTTTGCGACGGATTTAATCGCAAATCCTTTTTAAAACCCCAGCCCCGCCCCCATTTCTTTCTTCTTCTATTTTCTTTCTTTCTTCTCTCCTGAAACAGCCTCCAAAACAGGCCCAAACCAGTCCCGAAAACAGTCCCGAAAATCAGATCTAGAATACCTTGAAATCCAGCTCTGTTTCACCACAAAATTGCAGCAATTTCCATCTTCACTCACTGCCAATGCTCTCTTGAGTTGAGAAAGTCCATCGAGGCCGTCGAGGTTTGAGTCTCGTCAGTCGAGGTCCGCGTTCATCGAGGTCCTGTCTCGGTCTTATTTGCTTTGGAATTTCCTTGTTGTAAAACTCAAAAGATGAGGTTCAATACAAAGGTCCAGTTCTCTTAACTCTTTGTCAATTCTATTTACTGTTTTATAACCTTGATATGGATCACTTATTATATGATTCTATTGGATATTTAAACATTTGATGAAGCTTTCTCATAACATGCTTAAGTGATTTTGGGATAAATATTAAAATTGAAAAATAGATTCTTACTAATAGTTACATGTAGTGCCATGTGTGAGCTTTTGAAGGTTTGTTATGGATCCTTATTTTCTTACTTGGTACAATCTTATGGAATTTGTCATTCATTACCGTTTGGGTCTTAGTTAACTAATATTGAGTTTGATGAGCTTTAATTTCGTGGGTAAAAATCTGAAGTTGCAAGGCTAGTGTTTTGTTTGGGTTGGTTTTGAAGTTTATCTAGCTTATTGGGCATGTTCATTTTAGCACTTTTGTTTATTTGAGTTGGCTAATACCTAGTAATTCCAAATAGGCCGAGCCCATTCAAATTTGGCGTTAATTCCGCCTCATTATCTGTCCTCACATAATTCATAATTTAGTGTTAATTAGAATAAGTTCAAAGATTCAGTTGTAAGTAATTCAAAGCAATATGTGAATGATTCTTGTTGCTAAATCATACATCCTTTTCCACAAATTAATGTCCATAAACCCTCGGCCTTACAATAATCTCAAAATTTAGGAAAAATAATGAAGTGCGTAGTTGTTTTAGGCATGTTATTTAAATTAATTTCCTTAAACTCGGGTGTGCATTTATGTGACCCAAATCCAAATCTCACAATGTTAGATAAAATATATCGAGGACCGCGAGTGCATTTATGTGACGTGGTTCAAGACGTGTTTTAGATGACGTTGAATCTTTCTTAAAAATCATTAATCAAAAGTGGTTCTAAAGTTAAATGCACATAGGTTTAAAAGTGTTTTTAAAATCAGATAATTAGGCCAATAATAACAGTTGAGTGACCGTGCTAAAACCACGGAACTCGGGAATGCCTAACACTTTTTCCAGGGTTAACAGAATTCCTTACCCGGATTTTTGTGTTCGCGGACTGAAAAACAGAGTCAATCTTTCCTCGATTTGGGATTCTAAATCGGTGACTTGGGACACCATAAATTATCCCAAGTGACGACTCTGAATTTTTAAATGAAATAATCTTGTTTTGATTGTCACTTTAATTGGAAAAACTCCCTTGTACTACCTTCGTGTAGGTAAAAAGGAGGTGTGACAGCTCTGGCGACTCTGCTGGGGACAAAGAACCCAGAATCTCTGGTTCAGGGTTCAAGAATTCGAGCTTAGAATAATTGTTATATTTGGCTTTTATTTATTATCTGGTTTTAATTACATGTTTAGGCCTAATGTGCTAAATGTTGCTTTTTACCGCTTTGATATTACCTGAACTGTATATAAACTGCTACGAAACCTTTCTCTTCTCATCTTTGGGGATGTGCACGCTGACGTGACTCCTATTCTGTTAGTGTCATACCTTAAATAAGGAAGAGGCTCGGACAAGTTACAAAGCCGGATGGCCTTTTGGTTCCCGGTACGTAGCCCCCCCTCGACTCGAGTTGGCCGCTTGGGTACACAAGTCTAGAACAACATACCCAGGTTTTGAACTTAGAATAACTCAGCCTCATGCCGGATTCCTAGTAGGAACGCTTGATTGCATCACGTGCATTTGACTTTGGGAACTCAACATAGGGGTTGGGTCCGTCTAGGACAGGTATACCTAAAAATAAAAGACCATCCTGATGCATCCTATGTGCTACACGTTGCATTTCTTCAAGGGTAAAAGGATCATTTGGCGGACCAATGATAGCTGAGGGCAAATGAAAAAAAGAGAAAAAAAAGGAAAAAAAGAGAGGGTGAAGTGTGAGGATAAAGCGAGTAGGGCCCAATTATGTTTTCTACCACATTTTTGTTAAGAAAAAAGAGCCTGAAAAAATGATTTGCACATTTTCATCATTTTTCGAAAATCATAAACAAGAGGAAAAAGAAAATACAAAAAGATTTTACATGTTTCATCTTTTTTTTTTAAAAAGAAGACAAAAAAATGTTCTCTAAAATTAGTTGTTTTTTAATTCTTGCCCGTATCCAATTTGTCCGAACTACGCATATCTGATTCTCGTCTTTTGGGGCGTAATACGTAGGTAACCCACATAGGGTCCGGTCTTCCTAGTGAGTTTAGGTTCTTGGTTTCGCGGCGTCCTAGCCAAATCTTGCATTTTTAGCCACTTTTAGCCACATAGGTTAATTTAAGAAAAATAGTCACAATCATGTCTTGCATGCGTCCAACAGGAAAGGTTATTATCTCACATAGTGTTTTAGGTCTTTAATTTTATTGGTCTAATTTTCTCATACAGGTGTGGATTTACTTATCGGAGTTTGAGCATGACAGAGCCCCACGACCATCTAGTCAGGATCGCTCATCTAGGAGTGGATTAAAAGGAGATTTTCTTTTCTTTTTTATGCTTTGAGTATGTTGTTCTTTTTTATGTCGTCTTTTAACTTCTAGCTTTGTACAGTAATGTCGAGTCTCTTGGTATTGTGTTTCCTCTTTTGTATTGAAAAAAATATGTGTAATAAGTCAAAATTCAAAAAAAGATTTTGCGTTTTTATGTTTTCTTTAGAATACTAACTCTAGAAGTTCAAAAAAAATCTTTTGTGGTTTCCTTAGGAAATTAATGTCTAGAACTCAAATAAAAATTGCTTTTATATTTCCCTTAGTATGTTAAGACTAAAAATTCAAAAAAAAAAAAAAGAGAGAGAGTTTCCTTTTAGTACCTTTTTAAGAGTTTTCTTTAATGTATTAATCTCAAAAATCCAAAAAGATTTTCTTTTGAGGTTCTTCTTTGGGAAATTAATGAAAAATGAAAAAAATATTCTTTTATTTTCCCAAGAACTTTAGGACATTGTGCATAGAAGAAGAAAAACATACTTTATCTTTATCTTTAAAGTTTCTTTCTTAGGTAATCAAAAACCGAAATCAAAAAAAAAAAATTATTTTGTTCATTTCTCGTTTCGAAGTCTTTCTTCAGGGATATCAAATGAAAATTCAAAATATTTTTCTTTGGCTTATTGTTTGGACTTCATTTCAGAAAAAAAGAATCAAAGAATATTCTTCTCTTGCAGGATTTTTCCTTAATAATTCCCCATAGAATGTTTGTTTCAAATATATATATATATATNGGAAAAAGAAAAAAAGAAGAAGAAAAAGATGGTGAAATTATGTGAGGTAAGAAATGAGAGGAAAGAAAAGAGCGATAATCAGAAAGAAAAAAGGGGAAAGAAAGCG